CCCAATCCCCCACAAGTGTACATTTCTAGGGACACCCCACTGATCCGGAACAAGGACAAGGAAGTCTGACTTTGCTTTAGTCTGGGACTTGGATGTTTTTATCTTGGAGACAACCAGATAACTAACATTAAAAAGGAGAACTTTGGGGTCAGGGCTTTTCCCCATAGTTCTCCTTAGGGTAACGGGAGGACACAAACTAGCGTCCTCCCGTCACGCTAGGCTCAGTATATAGGGAGCTACAGCTCGCGGTATACTGAGACGCCGCAGCCGGAGCGGATCCCGACGTAGATGACGGGATCCGCCCAGCTGCGTGAGTGACAGCTGGCTCTGCCTATCTAGAGGCAGAGCCAGCTGTACACCCCCCCTCCCCCGTCCGTTCCGCCAGTCAGCGCTGGCAGATCGGAGCGGGGAGAGGGGAATCCAGCCCCTCCCCCTGTCACGGCAGAGAGCCGTGACAGGATCGAGAGGTGAGCGAACCCGGTATGTGTTCGCTCACCTCCCGATCTACTGAGCCGACCTGTGACAGTCTCATTGTCACAGGTCAGCTAGAACTATGAGGTGAGTGAAAAGCACCCCCCCCCCATAGTTCTCCTTTAATAGGCCCCAAAATACCCTTTTGATGTTTTTAAACATCCATCGCGACCCCAATCCCAAATATTTGCCCCATCCCACCCCCCATTCCCAACAACAGCCCCTTAGTTGTAGAGCTTGATTCAGCAAGGCAGAGATAGCCAGGAAAGTAACATTTTCAGCAATTGGGGGGAGGGGGAGGTTACTAGAATGGATCAGGGGGATGAAGCTGATGGGGCTAGGGGAGTTCCCGATTGGCTCCTCATTCTCTCCTCCCGTGTCTGGTACACGTCTCATATAGATATGTATAGATTCTGGCAGTCCTGCGCTCCCCTCAGTCGCTCCTGCCAGGAAAGGGAATGGTATATATATATAGCAGTGAGTCAGGCACTGATTCAGAGGATGTGAGAGATGAGGCAGTCCCTCCATCCTCCTCACCGCTCCCCGTGGACTTCATGATGAGCCATGAAAGGTGCCACATATCTGCTCGGCGGGCAAAGGACGGCCCACGTAGCCAGCAGAGGTT